GGGGTCACTCGGGGGTCACTCGGGGGTCACTCGGGGGACATGGGATACCGGGGTCCCCATTGTAGGGGACGCCTTCGGATCCCCCCAGTTAATCCCAGTCCATCCCAGTTAATCCCAGTTCAATCCCAGTTCAATCCCAGTCCATCCCAGTCCATCCCAGTTAATCCCAGTTCAATCCCAGTCCCTCCCAGTCCATCCCAGTTAATCCCAGTTCAATCCCAGTCCCTCCCAGTCCATCCCAGTTAATCCCAGTTCAATCCCAGTTCAATCCCAGTCCATCCCAGTCCATCCCAGTTAATCCCAGTTCAATCCCAGTTAATCCCAGTTCAATCCCAGTCCATCCCAGTCCATCCCAGTCTATCCCAGTCACTCCCAGTCCATCCCAGTTAATCCCAGTTCAATCCTAGTCCATCCCAGTTAATCCCAGTTCAATCCCAGTCTATCCCAGTCCCTCCCAGTCCCTCCCAGTCCCTCCCAGTCCCTCCCAGTACCCACCCCATGCCCTGCGGGGCTCGGTGAGGCGCAGCCGGAAGCGCTGCCCGCGGGGCAGCTCCTGCAGCAGCCGCGCCACCTCGAAGTGCCGCGCGCCCACCAGGCTGCGCCCGTCCAGCGCCTCCAGCACGTCCCCCACCGCCACCAGCGGCACGCGGGACATGAGCGAGCCCGCCCGGATCCGCTGCGGGGACACGCGACACGCCATGGGCGCGGGAGACACGGGGGGACACGGGAGGGACATGGGAGGGACATGGGAGGGACATGGGAGGGACATGGGATGGACATGGGAGGGACATGGGATGGACACGGGAGGGACACGGGAGGGACACGGAGGGACACGGGAGGGACACGGGAGGGACATGGGGAAACATGGCATGGACATGGGAGGGACATGGCATGGACACGGGGAAACACGGGATGGACATGGCATGGACATGGGAGGGACACAGGAGGGACACGGGGAGACACGGGAGGGACATGGGAGGGACATGGGAGGGACATGGGATGGACACGGGAGGGACACGGGGAAACATGGGGAAACATGGGATGGGCACGGGAGGGACACGGGGAAACACGGGAGGGACATGGGAGGGACATGGGAGGGACATGGGATGGACACGGGGACATGCGGGATGGACACAGGAGGGACACGGGAGGGACATGGGGAGACACGGGAGGGACCCGGGGAAACACGGGATGGACATGGGAGAAACACGGGAGGGACACGGGAGGGACATGGGGACACATGGGAGGGACATGCGATGGACACGGGATGGACACAGGAGGGACACGGGATGGACATGGGAGGGACACAGGGAAACATGGCATGGACATGGGAGGGACACGGGATGGACACAGGAGGAACACGGCAGGGACGCGGGGAAACACGGGATGGACACAGGACACGGGAGGGACATGGGAGGGACATGGGAGGGATATGGGATGGACATGGGAGGGACACGGGGAAACACGGGAGAGACATGGGAGGGACACGGGATGGACATGGGATGGACACGGGAGGGACACGGGAGGGATATGGGAGGGATATGGGATGGACACAGGAGAAACATGGGACGGACATGGGATCGACATGGGGAAAACATGGGATGGACACAGGAGGGACACGGGAGGGACACGGGAGGGATACGGGAGGGACACGGGGAAAACATGGGATGGACACGGGAACGACATGGGGAAAACATGGGATCGACATGGGGAAAACAGGGGAGAAACACGGGATGGACATGGGATCGACACGGGAGAAACACGGAATGGACATGGGAGGGACATGGGGTGAATATGGGATCAACACGGGGTGGATACGGGAGAAACATGGGGTCAACACGGGAGAAACACGGGATGGACATGGGGAAAACATGGGATCGACACGGGATGGACATGGGAGAGACACAGGATGGACACGGGATGGACATGGCAGAGACAGAGTAAACATGGGATGGACATGGGAGAAACATGGGATGGACACGGGATAAACATGGGATGGACATGGGAGGGACATGGGAGAGACACAGGGTAAACATGGGATCAACATGGGATAAACACGGGATGGACAGAGGATAGACATGGGATGGACAGGGGATGGACACAGGATAGACATGGCAGAGACACAGGATGGGCACAGGATGGACATGGGATGGACAGGGGATAGACACAGGTTACACCTGAGTTACACCTGGGCACACCTGGGCACACCTGTGTCATACCTGTGTCATACCTGGGCACACCTGGGCACAGCTGGGCACAGCTGAGCACACCTGAGCACACCTGGGCACACCTGGGGCACACCTGGGGCACACCTGGGCACACCTGAGCACACCTGGGCACACCTGTGTCATACCTGGGCACACCTGGGCATACCTGGGCACACCTGGGCACACCTGGGCACACCTGGGCACAGCTGCACTACCCTGTTGTAGGTGAAGTTGAGCCCCAGTGCTGCCCA